AGCGGTTGTCCACATTAACCGTGTCCACATTAACCGGACTCCACTGTATTTTTTAGAAAGGGTTCACAGAAATGTTCTTTCCTGTACTCATTTCCTAGTAAATTTTGTCTTCGATTTTTTACATGAAGAACTTTTATCTTTCAGTTTTATGAAAACTATTTCTCATTATGGGCTTTTTTAAGAACTTTAACTTCCTGTTCATAGGTTACTGTTGCACATAAATTATAGGACATGGTTTAAATCCGCAGCAAAACGTTATGAGCCCTATCTGGCATCTTCCTGATAGCGTAGAGAAATGCTTGATCTACTTTATATCAGGCCTTTGCCTAATCCACTTTTTTGTTTTTAGTGAAAATGCCCTCGAAATAGCAGGTGTGGGGGAGAATATGCTGTTCACAACGCTGGCCCGGATGCATATTTCGCGGCTTGATGTTAAGCCTCTTCAAAAAATGGAACTGGTTAAAACTCAAAGTAACTACTGAATCTTCTTTACCCCGTTTCTGCACACTTTATGCTAAGCTTCCTCGAAAAAAGAAAATACGATCACCGGAACGAGAAGTTTGTGAGCCTTCTCGTTCGAAATCATCATCAGAAACAACAGTCAACAAGGGTGATGAAGGCTCTGCAAACATGTGCCTAACCAAATTAGAAGACCTCGCTTTCATCGCTGGGAGTCCTTACGCTTAGCAACTAGCTGCGGTGAGCCAACTTGACGACTAATTATCGGGTCAGTATTCGATAACGGGGATAAAATGTCGTCAATTTACGACGGGAGGCGAAGTAAGGAGGCACCATCGCGTCGTATATGACTCCCAACGATGAAACCTAGGCTTACTGATTGGATAAGACTCGTAGTGGTACGGAGCCTTTGCAAATTTTGACACAGTATGTGTTTTAGTAAGGTTTTTGGGATGTTCCTGCGACCGCAATTAGGATTTGCCATTCAGGCCTAAAGACCGTGGGCAGGTAAAGACAGCACCAGCCTTTAAGGGGTCCGACGACGCTCGCAACTAAGCTGCGCGGTAACCTAGTCCAAGCGTTTCGTACGCTGCCTACACTGAAGTCGTCGAACGCTTTTACATTCAGGCATTAAGTCCGCTCGTCATTGTCATTGAAATCAACTGAGTATAATCTCTCACTTCCGAGTCATTTCTGCGTCTTAAACCACCCCACTGCCTTCAGTGTGGTAACCCATACTCCCCTCACGTCTCATCCCTGTCGGACATCTTCACAGTCATCGCAGGCTAATGGTCACAAGTAAAGTGCTGACCTGGTCGCACTGTTGTCAAATTTTCAATGGTGCATTAGATTGATATTACATCTTCGCTTTCAACAAGCTACAAAAGGAGAAAACCACCATCTGGTGCTTTATTCCACAGCCAGTAAGCCTCACCTAAAATGACCATCTATTCCTTCGCCTTGGCCTGCTCGCATGAAAAGAAAAGCCTTGCCCATCGCTGTAACAACAACTGTTATCCTTAAGGATGGTTAAACTGCGGCCTCATGGGTTACTTAAGACCCCAGTTGCAAGTTAAAACGTACTTTTGTATTTTTCTACGTAGCCATATTTTGAACCGTTTTTTATGCACTTTCATGTCAAGCAGTCCTTGACCCGCTGGTTATAAAACCTCGTTTTTCGCCATACTATTTGGGTTTGAAAGCAGTGTCTAGTTCTCACTTTAAAAATGCTGCGCGTAGGGAGTGCACTGTAGAAACACCACGACCAAGTAACGTTTAACAAGGTCGAGATTCTAACAGAAGGTAACTTTGCCTATGGGAT